ATCCTATTTCCCTGAGGTGCTAGCTTTTTTTACTTGCACTTTGGGTTTTTTTTGAGGGGGGTGGGGGTGGGGAAGAGGCATTTCAAAATAGAAACCCCCACTTACTGCGTGGAGCAGTATATATAGTTCACCCCATCAACTCAATAATTCCTCTAGCTCATTCCGCCCCATGTGTAGACAGGGCTTCAGATAGCTATCCAAGGCACTGACTGAGGTGATAATTCTTCCTCAGGAAGAACTCTGAGGTGATAGGTTGTCTGAATGCTTTGACACGGTGTGGCACTAATGTGTCACGATGTAAACACTTTGCGCTTCCTGAACAGGGACAGCTGATAAAATATGGCTCAGAAGTCTAGTCATGCAAAACCACACACTAACCAAATTCACCCACAAATAGCATCCGGAAAGACCATTTTAAGAGAGCACAATATAACACAAAGAGGTGGGGGGGCCTACCAGGGCCACCCACAGAACCCCCCTTTTTGTTTTAACATTGAGCTTGCTGGAAACCACAAGAGGGGAGAGTGCGCTTGACCTCAGGTCTTGCTTGTGCGTTTCCCACAGGGGCATCTGGTGGGTCATTGTGAGAACAGGATGCTGGACTACATGGGCCATTGGCTTTGTTTCTGCAGGAAGCTCTTATGTCCCTTTTATTGTGCATTGACAATGATTTGTTCTCATGATGCTATCAGAGGGGTCACGCATGATTGCGCTTTCAGTATTATTTGCACCTGCGAATGTTTGGGGTCAGTCGCACTGCTTCAGTGCATATCCCATTAACTTCCGGCTGGAATTTTGCAACTTTTCATACCACACTAGTGCAATGATTTACTTGAATACAGCCCCAATACATTTAATACACATGGCTTCCCCCAAGAAATCCTGCAAACTGAAGTTTACCCCTCACAGAGCTACTGTTCCTGGCACCCTTAACAAACTACAGTTCCCAGGATCCTTTAAAGAAGCCATGTGTTTTAAATGTATGGTCGGTACACAGCAGCTGAACCTACCTCACAGGGTAGTTGTGAAGACAGAATATTGAGGGAGGAGAACCTTTGTGTCACTGGATGAAAGCTGTAAATATAAGAATGACAGCCTTTGGAATAGAGATGCCTTTGGCAGCCTTAGCCCATTAACCATAGTTTTCATCAATCAAACCTGTCTAAGGTTGTGTTTGATTTAAAGAATAAGAGCGTGTCTTCCATCCACTAATTTACAAACAAAAGAAAAAGAAATAACATTTTTTAAAACACAAAAATAAAACATCTGCTGTTCTAGCAAAGGGGGCGCTTTTAGATCAAAATATTTAACCATCAACCAGTCTCATAGATACATTCATTCTACGTTGCAACGTTCCTTAAAATAAACAGGGAAATCAAACTGCACATTGGTTAGTGAAAAGCCTTCCACGACCTGTAGTCCGATTTTTTTGTACTACAACTCCCATCAGGCCGTGTAAACAAAGCCAATAGGCATTACGTATAGTAACGGTAGTCCGAAAGGTCTGGCGATCGCTACGATAAGGAAGGCTCCATAACCCGATGCACGTTTCACCGGGGAGTCAGACCCACTAAACTCAGCGGGGCTTACTCCTGAATAGACATGTATCGGACTGCACTCTGATGTTGCGATCCTATGCATGCTTCCCAAGGCTAAGTCCCACAGGATTCCCATGGGGCTTAAAGCTGAGTAAATAATTGCAGCCTCACTACCAAAATAAATAAGGAAGTTCATTTGCAAATTTATACAGATGTAATTGGTGAAAACCCTGTGATCAATAGACTTTACTCACAACCTTATCCATTTCACTACTTTCTCTCCCCCCCTCTTTTAAAGTAAATAAGACATATACATCACTCAATTAAACAAACAAACCTCCAGGCGGTTTATATAAAATCTAAAATATTAATAATAAAATGCCGATAAAACCAACACTTTTGAAACAACACAGTGGGATTTTGTCTTTCAGCAGACACGTATCCGATTGCATTAAAATCGTAGATAGCCCTGTCGACCCGTTAGAAATATCAGATATCATCTGAATTATAGTAACACCATAAAGGTGGTGGTACGTTTGCACTGCGAGGCTGTGCGATAGGGAAATGACTTAATAGCGGCGCCGCAGAGAAGAGGTTCTGAGGTTCAACCAGGTCCGCCCGGTGGAGCCCCGATTCCAGCGGCCGTTTCGGGCTCGGCTCCGCTTCCTCTCCGGCCGGCCTGGTCTCCTCCTCCTCGAGGGCCGCCAATGAGCGCCGGCGGGAGGAGAAGCGCGGCGGCCAATGGAGCTGCGGCAGGAAGCGAGCGCCAGGGCCGGGGAAGGAGGCGGCGGCCAGGCAGGGCGCACGGCGGCGGCGCGCCGGATCAAGTCCAAGCAGGGCGGGAGGGCGGCCTGGCTCAGTGGCGGCGGAGGTGAGTCGGGGGCTCAGTGGAGCGGCGTCGGGAGCAGGAGGGGAAAGCAGCCGGCGCCCTCCGTGCGCGCTCGCGTTGGTGCCAGATGGACACCCAGGCTTAGGGTCCCCGGCCAGGTGGTTCCGGGGTGCGCAGGGTGGGGGACCTGAGTGTGCTGAAGCCAAGGAGGTTGTGTCTGCAGACGCTGGTAACCCCAGATCTCAGAGGGCGCTCCCATGGCATCGCTGTGGCCCAATGGGGGAAATAGTTGGGCCTTAGGAGTTTGGCGAGACTGCAGTCGGTGGGGTGGGTGGGTGTCTCGGAGGTGGGGTGTGTGCAGGGCCGGATTTAGGTTTGATGAGGCCCTAAGCTACTGAAGGTAATGGGGCCCTTTAAATGTCCAGCTGTCCTTTGTCAACAACAAATTGTCACTGTTTTTTGTGTTGAATATATGCTATGTAGTAATTTATGGACCTAATAGGTATCTAAAGCCATTTGCACATAACAAAATATGTTATCAAAGTAATTTAGGGAGCCGGCTAGCAGGCGTGGCCCATTACTTACATCATATGAGCCTACACAAAACACTGTTGCTGTATGTAGGTTTTATTTTAATTGCTTTTTATCTTATATTTTGAAAATGTACATCTAGGTTTCCCCCCCTTTAAATTTTTTTTGGGCCCCCAAGAGAGTGGGGTCCTAAGCTATAGCTTGTTTAGCTTATATGTAAATCCGGTACTGTGTGTGTGTGTGTAGGGGAGGTGGATTCAGATGGCACTGAAACACTTTGGAAGTGAGCAAGAAGCTCCTCTGCTGACCTTGCCAAGTCCTTTCTCCTCCCCTGCAGGGACAACGTGCAGGGTTAGGGTTCCCCTCCCTGCTTCCCACCCAGAAGTCCTGGTGTGGATGAGGTTGGACTGGAAACCCCTCATTCTGGCCACCTTAATCTGGCAACCCTGAGAGATTGTTGGATGGAAGAATTAATTTAACTGTAGCTGTTTTTTTTATAGAATATTTAAACTGTTCTAGAATGTCCTTTGCTTTTTGTGTTAGGTGCCTCCTTGGGGAGGAAGGGCACAATATGAATTCAGTAAATAAAGAATCCCACAAGTGCATTTGAAGTGCTATGATGCCACTTTTTTTTTAAAAAAAGTTATGGCTTCACCCAAAGAATTATGGGAATTGTAAGGAGTTGTTAGGATATCTCAATCCCCCCCCCCATTCCCCCCACATAGCTGCAATTCCTAAAGTTCCCTTTGAAGAGGGATTGACTGTTAAACCACTCTGGAAATTGTAGGTCTTTGAGGGGAATAGGGGGGTCTTCTGGCAACTCTTTGCACTCTTAACAAACTACAGCTCCCATGATTCATTGCAGGGAGCCATGACTGTTTAAAGTGTATCATAGTGCTTTAAATGTATAGTGTGAATGTTGCCCCAGAGTTATTCGGAAGGAAAGGCCTTCTACTGAAGCCTTGACTCAAGTTAAGGGGAAGAATCCTGATAAGCCTTAGTAGGACAGAGTTTGCTACCCTAATGTAAACTTGTGGAAATCCATTCAACTCTGTCCCACAAAACTGTAGAGTGCTTAAATTAACCGCTTTGAGACTCCTTAAAGGGAGTGAAAGGCGGGATATCAAATCCAAACTCTTCTTCTTCTTCTACTCCTAAACAGTAAATTTCTTTGGTTAAGTAGGCATGTTGCTGCTGCCTTCTAGGGGAATCCTAAACTGGCAGAGTTGAGAACCAGTGTAAGCTACCAAAAGATCTAATCAAGTGGATTTGTGTGTGTGTGTGTGTGTGTGTGTGTGAATGTGTGAACAGCCTTCTTGAGAAGAGGTGGGGTTGGCCAGGGGCCAGCCAGATGCTTCAGACCAGCCCAGAAGGAGGGCAGGAAGATACATTGAACAGCTTCTGTAGGTTTGTGAATTACAAGTTATGCTGGAGATGGTAATTCTGCTCTAGATAAATAAATTCATTTTTATTTCCAGCTCTCTGCAAACTGCGAGGCCAGGGTGGGTGACAGCACTTCAAACAGCAATCCAGTAAAAACAAGAGAGTCTTGTGGCATCTTAAAGGCTTAATTGTATTATCAGTCTCAATTATCTGAGTGCCAGATACTGATACAGGCAAATGGCACCATCCACATGCAAGACGAAGGGAATAGGCTATCTCTGGGGGACCCAAAAGTTTTCAGAAGAACAAAAAAAATAGAGGGGGGGGAAACCATGGGGAACCCCCCCCCAAGTATCCTAGTGAGGGCTGAATATGCTCAGTGGGCATGGAATGCTGGCTGACCGTTGAGGGTGGAAAACTGTAAAGGAGCGGGGATAGAATATCCTGGAAGAAAATGTAGCTCTCTACAGTGCAACCTTTTGTAGAATTAATTTTTTTAAAGAGCAATCAGGCTGTCGTTGTACTACTCCTCTGGAATCCAGCTCTGACCATAAAAATACCCATTGATCTATGAAAATGGCTGCTATTAAAAGCCAGTACCAGGAGCACCACCAAAAAGTATTCGTAGAGATTGCTTAAGCTCTGATTACTTTTACGTCTTAGAAGACAGGATCTGGATAAGAACGCTTAACTTACATGCTCTCCTTTCATGTCTGCAGGACCCGCAGGAGCCATGTGGCCGGTTCTGTGGGCAACAGTGCGGGCCTACGCCCCTTACGTCACCTTCCCTGTGGCCTTTGTGGTCGGGGCGGTGGGCTACCACCTTGAGTGGTTCATCCGTGGCCAGCCACCCCCTCAGCCACCTGAGGATGAGAAGAGCATCTCGGAGAGGCGCGAAGACCGCAAGCTTCAGGAGAGTGCAGGAAAGGACCTCACCCAGGTGGTCAGCCTCAAGGACAAGCTGGAATTTGCTCCCAAAGCTGTGCTCAACCGGAACCGTCCTGAGAAGAACTAGCAGAGCTGTCCTGTTTGACGGGTGGGGATTTTGATTGGTTCCATGCGGTCTTGATTGTTAGTTTCCTGGTTTTGTCATTTTTTGAGCCCACCGAACCCAGCCAATGACTTCTCCACCAATCTCACCAGCTTCATCCTACTTTTGCTTCCATTGGAGGATTGCTGAAGCCACTGAGATCCATTGGAGGTGGAGGGCAGACTTTGTGACTCTGCACTTCTTGCCTTGGCAGCAGAATGACCAATTCTCCTTGGAGGTTATCGGTCAAGAGATGGAACTACCCCTGCAGTCTTTGGCGAAGGTTCAGCCAGGACAAGGCAGGATCCCCTTTCTCTTGCCATATGCTGGCAAAGGCAGGATTTCACTTTAAAAGAGCACCTCTGAAATATGGTACCACCCCCCTCAATCCTTGCTTTGGTGCCCTTGGAGACCACTTTAGGATGAGGGACCTTAAAGATTGTTCAACACTTCTGGGTGCTAGAGGAGCAGTAACTGCCACATGTCGTGGCAACTGAGCTTCTCCACACTGCTGCTACTTGGGCAAAGATACATCTCTTTTTCTGAGCAATTTCCATGTGCGGGATTTGGGGAGGTGTGTTTGTGTGTGTGTCTGCTGACTTCTTGGACATGGGCCTGCTGTTGAAACTGAAAAATAATAATAAATAGTTTGGAAAATATCAGGCCTTTTCATTTCCTGTAGGTAGCTGACCATTGGCTGTGTTGGTTAAGGTTGCTGGAAGCAGCAGTCCTACTATATCTGGAGGGTCAGAGTCAAAGTAAAAAGAGCAATGTTAGGCGTGTGTGGGAGGGATGGGAAGGGAAGAAGGGAAGAGGGATAGTGTGGAGGTGGAGAAGCTGTGGCCCTTTAGGTCACTCCCAGCCAACATAGTTTGTAAAATGTGGAGGGCTACAGGCTCCATCCCTGGAGTGGAGCAATGCAACTGTTATCCAACTGGGCTTTAGAAACTGGTCTGTTGCTCAAACAACTCTGTTTTATTTTATTTTTAAATCCCTTTATTTCACTGACGCTTGCTTCCACATTGCCATGCTAAGGGCCCTAGCCTCAATATTTTATGTTCTGCATTCAAAATGCACATGAAGCTTGCAATGTTGATTGTGTTTTAATTAGTTTGTGGAAGAGTGGAGTTCTTCTGAGGGCTAGTGTGTGTTCATGCCACATGATTAATTTAATTAACAAATGTGATTTAATTATGTGTTAAGAACACAAGGAGAGCCTTGCTGGATGAGGCCAGTGGCCCATCTAAGGCAGCATCCTGTTCTCCAGATGCCCCTAGCCTAGGAAGCCAACAAGCAACAATGCTCCCCCCTCCTTTGTTTTCCAGCAACTGGTATTCAGAAGCATTCTGTCTCCAGTAGACGTTGATAGCCTCATCTTCCACTGGTGTGCCCAGTCCTCTTTTATAGCCATCTAAGTTGGTGGCCATTGCTGCTTCTTGTACAAGTGAATTCCAACTATGTGACGCCTTATGAAGATTGACTTTCTTTAGCCTGCTCTTCTTCCTTCTTTCTAGAATGCTCAGAGCAGTTTGCAAGGATCTCTTGGTGATCTCTGATTCAGTGTTTGCTGAGGTCTGCACAGTTTAGCTACAGCCCTGCAGACTTGTTCACACAAGTAGAAGGCAGCCTCTAATGCAGGCTTCCTCAAACTCAGCCCCCCATCATCTCTGCCCACTGGTCCTGCTAGGTAGGGATCATGAGAGTTGTAGGCCAAAAACATCTGGAGGGCCGAGTTTGAGGAAGCCTGCTCTAATGCCTTGATCTCCAGCAGCTCAGCTCTTGCAAAGTTTGCCTTCACACACGGAGGAACTTGTGCATTTAGTTCTCCTTTGATGTAGTGTCAGCTCTGCAAATAAGGATGGCAAACTCCATAGCCTGCTGGCCCACACATCCCTGTATTCATCTATAATCAGAACTGAATGGATATTTACAAGCCTGGTTCTCAGGGTGGCACTTGCACAACATATCTTAAATTACAAATAAAACATACAGTGGTACCTCTGGATGCGAAGGGGATCCATTCCGGAGCCCCGTTCGCATCCTGAGTAGAACATAAGACACGACCGCATGCGCTGGTCACATTTCGCCGCTTCCATGCATGCGTGTGACGTCATTTTGAGCATCTGCGCGAGCGGCGAAACCTGGAAATAACATGCTCTGTTACTTTTGGGTCGCCACGGAGTGTAACTTGAAAACGCTCAACCTGAAGCACATTTAACCCGAGGTATGACTGTACTTTGGAAAACCCACAAAAAAACTTTTCCAGCTGTTTAGGAGTGTGGAACTTTTCTCCAGCCCCAAGGGCCACATTTCATTCTTGACAGCCTTCCAAGGGCCACATGCAAAAGTGGGTAGCTTTGGCCAGCAGCAAGAGCAGCACCTGTTAATTTACACTAACATCCTCTATTCTCCATCCTGTCAAGGAAGAAGCACTATCAGAGTTCAGGAGTACATTTTAGCCTGGAGTGTGTAACATTGGGCTGGGGAACGGTGTATGCCCTGGGAAGAGTCCCAAGAATCATATAGAATGGCCTGGAGGGTCATATTTGACCTCCACCCTCATGCTTGGAAGTTTCCCATCCCTGTTTTAAAAGAACTAAGCAAGGACAGACAAATTCTGCACAACCATTGATTAAAAAAAACAACTAGCAGAAAGCTCAGTGAGTTCAAAGGATCTGTTGTGTGTTAAGAGAAAAGGGAGAATTGACTGCAACTTTGGCCTCAGGGCTTCCCTGTCACCTCCTTTCTTCTACCCCAGGCTGTGTTTTTCTTTTCTGCTTCATAGAGATAAATCTGTTGCCTCCATATCGCAGCATCCCTCCTGCCAGCCTGCTTGCTCAGCTTACTTGGCTGCTGATGACAGATCCATTTCCTCAGGCCGTGCTCCAGGGTCAGAGGGCACCTTATTTCCTGCAGATGGGGGAAAGGCTTGAGCAGCCATGGCTTTATGATTAGCAGATTACGGCCTGTCACTCCTTCAGAGTGTAAGACGTGCTGTCCTTTGCACTGCCTCACACATAGGGGACCTGTGTAAACAAGAATTGCTGAGTGCTTTAAGCAATTGCTGGAGAGATTTAGGAGTCCCCAGAGGAAGGGAGAGACTCAAAGACACTTGTTGATGTTAAAAATTAGATTCTTAATGGAGTTGGAGCTATTTTTCTGGAGTGACTCTTGCACTGGTGTCTGGATTTCCTGTGTCCATGCAAATATTTTTTGTCAAGTTTTGCTAAGTGTTTGCAAGAATGAACATTTTTACTCTCTTTGGCTACTTGCTCCATATTGCTTGGTGTTGGCTAGTTGCCCCTTCACACACCCGATTTCTGAATTTCCATGTGCGTTTGCATGCTCTGCTCAACATCTGTCTTCTAAATCTGCTTACTTTGGAGTAAACTGCCCCCCTTGCACAACAAGGTCAAAGAAATAGATCTGGAGCATTTGTGGTGTGAAAGTTACTGGATGTGTCCTGGCTGGAAACGAAGCAGGTTGGCACGCTTGAAACGTTTGCAGGCAAAAACAGTACATTTATGTCCACTCTTATTTGTGCACGACCACACATACCTCCAGTGCTGGAAGTGGATCCTGGAAATGGGGAGCCCCCTGGAGAGGAGTCCTGACTCACAAGGAGACCCTTCCCAGAGTCCGAAGAAGATGTCCTCTTGAGACTCTGGGGTCTCCTCATGAGCCGGAGGCTTCCCCATCTAACAGCTGGTATGTGGGGTAGTGCAGCCGCCGCCGCCGCTTTCCCACCCATCAGCTGTGTGAGAGCCAAGCTGTCCCTCTGCTCTTGTGCGTGAGCTGCAGGAATAGTGGACCGGCACAGCTGACGGGCAGCGAAGTTTCTTCCTTGCCCATAAGCTGAGCTGATACAGGCAACTCCCGATTTTATGTGATTTCACGTATGCGCTCAGGGGTTGCAAAAATTACCAAGTGTTCCCAATAAGAGGCTCACCTGAAGGGGTCCACAAGCTCCAAGCCCTGGCTTAAACTTGAAAGTTGATTGGCGGCCCCAGGATTGTATCAAGAATTGGTCGCTGGAACCTTCAGGCCCAGCCCCCCAGAACTGATGCTTGCATAGCACATAGTTAAACTATGCTCCCATAGGAGGCAGTGATGGCCACCAACCTAGAAGGCTTTTAAAAACGGTTACACAAACTCATGACATGGGCTGCCAGGCATAAAAGGTTATGCCGTAATAAATTTGTTTGCTTTAAGGTGCTGTAGGACTCTTTGTTGGTTTTCCTGCAACAGATTAAACCTTTTTGAACTTTGTCCCATGTTCCTATATGAGTCACTGTTCTACATCTGCCTCCTTTTTTTTGCAACGTCAAGAGAGAACAGTGACCTATACAGTGGTACCTTGGGTTAAGAACTTAATTCGTTCTGGAGGTCCGTTCTTAACCTGAAACTGTTCTTAACCTGAAGCACCACTTTAGCTAATGGGGCCTCCTGCTGCTGCCACACTACCGGAGCACGATTTCTGTTCTCATCCTGAAGCAAAGTTCTTAACCCGAGGTACTATTTCTGGGTTAGCAGAATCTGTAACCTGAAGCGTCTGTAACCCGAGGTACCACTGTGCAGGAATGCAACAGGCAGCAAAGGAAGATCACTTGGTTGCATCTCTTGAATGACAGAATGAGTCGATCACACCTAATGCAGAGAGGAGTAGAATTTGGCAGCCAAACCGAATAAGAGGAAGCTAGAGTGATGAGCTCATGCAAAAGACAGCATGTGGTCTCCAAGGAGCCCTTTGTTATTTAATTTATTCCTTGAGGCACTTGCAGTTCCTGCACAGTAGGACACCTCCTAAGGATTCTGAGAATTTGCTGCCTCCAAGTGGACACTGCAGAGAATTTCAGAAACAAAACCTAAACTCAAGACTCAAGTGCACACCTATGTGTCTGTGTTCATACTGAGTTCAACAGGACTTAAAAAGGTAAAGGTACCCCTGCCCGTATGGGCCAGTCTTGCCAGACTCTAGGGTTGTGCGCTCATCTCACTCTATAGGCCGGGAGCCAGTGCTGTCCGCAGACACTTCCGGGTCACGTGGCCAGCGTGACATCGCTGCTCTGGCAGGCCAGCGCAGCACACGGAACACCGTTTACCTTCCCGCTAGTAAGCGGTCCCTATTTATCTACTTGCACCCGAAGGTGCTTTCGAACTGCTAGGTTGGCAGGCGCTGGGACCGAACGACAGGAGCGCACCCCGCCGCAGGGATTCGAACCGCCGACCTTTCGATCGGCAAGTCCTAGGTGCTGAGGCTTTAACCCACAGCGCCACCTGCGTCCCCAGGACTTACTGTCAGGTAAATATGCATAGGATTGTAGCAAAAAATAAAGAAATCCCTGCAAAATTTGAATTTGTACTCATTAAATAATAACACCTGACAAACAGTGATACGCTTAAAAACTATTGAATAAAACAGGTATAGGCAAACTTGGCCCTCCAGTTGTTTTGGGACTACAACTCCCATGATCCCTAGTTAACAGGACCAGTGGTCAGGGATGATGGGAACTGTAGTCCCAAAACATCTGGAGGGCCGAGTTTGCCTATGCCTGGAATAAAAAGCGGACCTGCTATCTGACTATTCAGTACCCTCCACCCAAAGTGATGTGAAATACTTTGAACAACCAGCATGGCATTGTACTTTTTAATGTATTTG